TTTGTGAATAGATGGTCAAGAACACATTTTTCAAAATATTTTTAAATGCTTGATTAACATTTTCAAATACCATATTAACATTTTATTAATAGATGGCAACATTGTTTCTAAACATATTTCATTTTTTATTTTTCTAATGCTTTATTAAGAATTTCAAATACAAGTTTAGCATTTTTTAATACATGATCAAGATTTTGTCTAGACATATTTAGCATTTTTCAAATACATGTTCAATATTTTTTGAATTAATGGTCGACGGTTTTTCTATACACATTTTGCATTTTTCAAATAGTAGTTCAATATTTTTTAATACATGGTCAACATTTTTTCTATGTATATTTTATCATTTTATAAATGCTTGATTAACATTTTTCAAATACTCCCTCTGTCCGGAAAACTTGTCATCAAAATGAATAAAAGGGGATGTATCTAGATATATTTTAGTTCTAGATACATCCCTTTTTGTCCATTTTGTTGACAAGTATTTTCGGACGGAGGGAGTAGTTGTTTAACTTTTTTTCAAAAGCTTGATTCACATTTTTTAGTTACCTGGTCAACTTTTTCACACATTTTATATATTTTTCCTATACATGGTCAGCATTTTTCTGAATGCATGATTAATATTTTAAAAATATTATGTAAATTATATTTTTGTAATATACTCCCTCTGTTCCTAAATATAAGTCTTTGTAGAGATTCCACTAGATGGACTACATACGGAGCAAAATGAATGAATCTAAACTTAAAATGTATCTATATACATCCGTATGCGGTTTATAGTGAAATCTCTACAAAGACTTACATTTAGGAACGGAGGGAGTATGGGTTTATAATTTTCAGAAGTGTAAAAGAGAGTAAAAAAACACACAAAACAAAAACATAAAAGTAAAGAAAAGAAGAAAAAATGAGGATGTGCCATCAAGCGTACCTGGGTTGGCCCATCTGGAGCTGCCCTGACACGAGGGTTCCCTCTGTCTCACTGTAAGCGAGACATTGGGGCGTCCCCCGTGGCTTGGTGGGTATGGGAGTTCCTATGCGCCGCTCGTTACGGCAAACAGTCGGCCGCCCGCACACGAGTGCCCCGACTGGGCCGGCCCATGTATAGCGCAGAAAAATCTATAAAAGAGGTAGAAGTGTATAGGGATCGAACTCACGCCATCCAGCTCTCTACGCGCAATACTAGCTACCACACCAATTCTGTGCCATTGACAAGTCACCAGCAGCATTATATTTACTGTAGTGTACAGATTTTTCAATTATTGCACACATTTTAGGAAACACTATTTTTTGTTTGGAAAATTTAGCATTTCGAAATGGTATTTGAATTATACAAAAGGAACTAGAATTAGAAGCATTTTTTGAAAATTTCAGAACATTTTTCAGAAACAATAACAAATTTGTAAACATGATTTTTTGAATGACGGACATTTTTATAAATGTTTCGAAAATTTTCTGAAAAAGTGAACAAATTTCGAAATACAGAATGTTGTTGAAAGAGTGAACAAATATGTGGACCGAACAATTTTTGAAATGTTCAAACAATTTTTGAATGCTTGCACATATTTTGTAAAACCAGGCAATTTTCAAAATTCCAAACCTTTTCCTAAACACAAACAAAATTTGAAAATCCTGAATTTTTTTTGAAAAAGTGAATAATTTTCAATATGGCGATAATTTTTTGAAACCTGAACAAAAGTCGAAAATTCTGAAATACTTTTGGAAAAATGAATGATATTCATAATTCCGAAGATTTTTTAGAACACGAAGAAAATTTGAAACTCCTGAACATTTTTGGTCAATTATTTTTTCGAAAATTCTGAGCAATGTTTTAAAAATGTGAACAAAATTTGAAAGTGCTGAACATTTTTTGAACAGAAAAGAACAAAATTTGAAATTCTGAATTTTTTTCAAACATGAACAAAATTTGAAATTCTTGAACATTTTTCGAATAGAAGGGAACATAATTTGAAATTATGAATATGTTTTAAGAGTTGAACAGTTTTTAGAAATTTTATTTCTAAAAGTTAAAAAAGTAACGGAAAAGGAAAAAGAAGATAAGGTAACCAAAAAAGGAACAGATAACAAAAGCCAGAAAAAAGAAAAACGGAAAATAAGAAAAAACTTATGAAAACCGAAGAAAACAATAAAAACAGCAGGAAGAAAAGAGACCTGGACCGGTTTGGAACGTTCTAGAAGGTTCCCTAAACCGGGATCAGTGCAGCGCGCAACGGGCCGGCCCATTTAGTTAGTTGCTCCCGTCGCCAGGTCTGTGCGTTTGCACGACAACTTGACGCAATAAGCGTCAGTATAGGGTTTTCCGCCGTTGGTCCCAATTCCGGTAACTTCTAGTAGTCTCCGTTTGCAAGGAAATCCTGAGGCTGCAGTGGCATAGCCTGAGGCTATTTGGATGCGGAAATACTGTACACACGATGGTTGGCGGACGCTGCATGCACGACACTCATTATCGACGGCTGCAACCCACTGAACAAAAGGAATACATGGCTGCAATATTTTGTCGTGCAGGAATCGGCCGCCAACCATCGTCCATGTAGCAGTGCTCATTTGGATGGCAGCCGAGAGCTGCCATGCCAATAATTTGGCGTTGACAACCAGTCTGGGAGGTCGTTTGGATTGGTGCCAGCTTTTGCTTACCCCGCCATTTTTTGGTCACCAGTACATCCTTTTCACGTTTTGCGCCCATACATTGGCTTGGCAGCGGCAGCATAATCCTTGGCCAAAAAATTGGCACGCCCTCAATTGGCAAGGCAGTCCGGGGCGCTAACCAAACACTGAAGCATTTTAAAAACGTAATATACATTTTTAATGGTTTGAAGCATTTTTTAAATTACTTGAACATTTTGTTACAGTGTACAACGTTTTTATGAAATTTTCAAATATATCTTTTGAAACGTTGAATATTTTTGAAATTTCATGAATAGTTTTTCGAACTCTGTCAATAATATTTTAAATTATGCTAACAAAAAAATTGCATCATGTTAATTTTTTTAATTTTTCGGTTTTTATTTATTTTTAATTTTATATATGTTTGGGATATATGTATATATAAATGTTTCAAAAATATGATAAAAACAAAAGAAACGAATGAAAAGGCAAGGGAAATCGAACAAACCTGCAGGAACCTAATTGGGTTGGCCTAATGGTCTCGCAAAAGCGATACATAGCCGCGCCGGATGTCGTCGGTCCCAATTCCAGTAACTTGTAGTAGTCTCCGTTGCAAGAAAATCCTGCGGCGGCGGTGGGGCAGCCTCGAACATTCGAATCCGGTGACGAGCACAAACTCACCTCTCGGCGCGGCAGCTGGTGCCGGCGGCGACGCTGCTTGCCTGGAGAAGGAGCGACAGCGGCTACAGCTGTTCCTTGTGGAGAAGGTGAGCAAGTTGTTCATGAGGTGACGATTGACATTGCTAGTCTGAACCTCTGCAGTAGCCGAAGCATCAGGTAACAACTGTCCTCTGATTTATGCAATGAATTACGAGATATGTTCAGTAAATTACTTGAGTTCACTATCCTTTGCTGCCAGCGAAATTTTGGTGAAATTGCAGTAATATTTCGTTTGAATTTGTGGACCTGTTCCGGTGTGAAATTACGAAATATTTCCCGTGATGTCCGAAATTTCGTGGGTCACGAAGAATTTCCCATCGCGGATCCTTTTCCCCTGGTTCAGAGTATAGTTGTTCACGCAACAGTCAAGAGTTCAACTCTGAAACCTGACAGCATAACTCTCAACCCAGTTGTTTCAACTTAACTGAATGCATGATTGAACTAAGTTACACACACAAGTACTTGAGTACATACACCACAGCTAAACTGCACCTAGAGGTGAACATATAATACAGTAGTTCTTAAAAATAGCAATCGATGAAACAAATTCTGATCATACAAGATCCCCTGAAAACCAAATAGTGGCATCTAGCACCCTCAACACCCTCCTGCATCTTCTTCTTGTGCTACCCGTGCACCCTCAACTTTGTACTAGCTATAATCAAACTGCAACGAACTTGGTTATAAATTCTCAGTTTTCTACTCCCTCCGTTCCTAAATGTAAGTCCTTTTAGAGATTTTAATAAGAACTGCATATGGATGTATATAGACATATTTTAGAGTGTACATTCACTCATTTTGCTTTGTGTGTAATTTGCATCGGAATCTCTAAAAAGACTTATATTCATCCGTTTCGAAAAAAAAGACTTATATTTAGGAACGGAGGGAGTAGTCGATTGTGTCACGCCTTGCGATGATGCTTATTCAACATAACCCTCCCACCAACTAGGTACTTATTCGAGTGATGATATCCATGGAGGTCGTCGATTGTTTTCACTAGGCAGCAGAGGAAGGAAACAGAGCAACCAGCAACAGTAGAGCACGCGAATGACTGGCTGTTGCCAAGTGCCGAGTTGATGCAGCTGGCCAGAAGTTCAGTACTGGATACTTTCTGCTGAATCATTACCCAAATCTCACACCCCGCTTACATCTCTGAGATTGAAACCAGATGAAGCAATTTACAGGACAGCAGTTCAAGCTACAGTAGAAGAGTTCAGAGTATTGGAGTGACAAAACAACGTTTCAACTCTGAAACCTGAGATCAAACTTGTGTCCAGCTGTTTGATCTTAAATTAATGAATGGTCCATTAAACCAAGTTACACACAAGTACACAAACAATAGGGAAACTTCACCTGGAGGTGAACTTAATAATTCTTAACAATAAATCAATGCAACAAATTCTGATACAAGATTCCGTGAAAACCATGTAGTACCATGTAGCAGAGCAACTAACACCACTTCTTCTGGGACGCCTTCAGGGTTCAGGCATCACCACGAGATTCCAATCAAGCCACTTGCGTTTAACAGAAGATCCCCTGAATAGATGAAGGGAGAGTATGAGACATATAAGCGTGCAAAAGGTTGCATACAGAAAGGGTTGTACGAAATTATGATTATGATTAATACCTCTTGTGTGTCATGATATAACACAACGCTCTTAGTTGACGGTGGAGCTCTCTTCCATTTCACCCCGGATAGATAGCCTGGGATGATTGGGATGAGTGTTTGCCTCATTCCTTATGGCGGCAGCTGCAGCAGAGTTGCTTTCATGAAATGTGTCATCATCATTGCAAAGAGTAACTCTGGCATCTCTTAGACATGGGAGGTGGCCAAGACCCAAGTAGAACCCATATGCTTCTGCCACTGAAACAAAGAATGGCAGTTCAAGCTTCTCCATCTTTGGCAGCGCCCCTTCTTCAAATGTCAAGTAAACTGCACTTGGACAACGGAAGGTACGGATAAGGTTGAATTCCTTCAAACACGGGAATGCAGCGCCTTGTACGGTAAGCCTTTCTTTTTGGACAGTCTTGAATGTTATACTCAGGCGAAGTAAAGCTGGCATCTCTCCAAGTAACCGCAAATCCTCCTTTGTTGCTTCAATAAAATTAATGTCTAGGTATGCAAGACTGGTGAGTGCTGGTACAATCCACTTTGGCATCTTTGGCAAATAGTAGCCACTGGTCACCCGAAACATTTGGAGGTCATATGGCAGAGGGGACAATGAATCTAAGAACTGGACCGGTGTTGAATCAGGAGAGAATATCCATAAAGACTGAAGGTTGCGAGTGCCAAGCTTGCATAGTGAGGAGAGTAACATGTCTCCATGCCTCTTGTATTCCTGAGATCCTCCACCGTCCAACTGTATATGGAGTTCTTTCAAACCGGTCAGATTCCCCAGTTCCTCGACTGCACATAATGCACTCTTCATAATATTAAAGCCCGAGATCACCTGTAAACTCCTCATATTGTCAATACCATTGGGTATCTTGATTTTGCCATAAGGATTTTTACCGAGAGATCTTGCAATCAGTAGATGTTGTAGCTTAACAAGCTGAATAATCCCAGTGGGCAATTCTTCTATATCTGTATTTCTAAGATCTAGCGTCTCTAGACCATATAGCCTCACAATCCCTGATGGTAGCTTCGACATCCAAGTGCCCCTAAAGCTCAGGTACTTTAGTTGAACTAGTTTATCTATACCATCCATATCATCATACTTGCACAGACTCCAACAATCTTGAAATTCTAGTACACGCAAAGCTTCAAAGACAACAAGCCTAGGCAAGTGTTTAATGCAAGTTGATGCTATCACTGTCAGAGATCTTAAATGGCTTAGATCTTCATTTGCCAATATGGATGCAAGCTCTTGGTCAATATGCTGGACTGAGAGTCGCCGAATAAGACCATCATGCTTTGCCAAATCAGTTTGACCATGGCCTGCCAAAGAGATGAAATTATCTTCAACCGATTTTGAAATAATGAGCTCGAGCATCATGTCATGGACTTGACAAGCACGAGCCTTTCCATCATAACCAATTTCAACCGGCTGGATCATACTTTTGTTTATTAGCTCATAGAAGTGGTTCTCGGCAACCTCTTGCTTGCTTTGTCCGCGCTCTTCAGAGATGAAGCCTTCTGCTATCCATCGCCTCACTAAAATATCTCTCTCAATCACATAATCCTCAGGATATATACATAAATATAACAAGCAGGTCTTGAGATTGGGTGAAAGATCATTGTAACTAAGGGATAATATGTTATTCATTCCATCTAAGCTTCGGTTTTTGTCCAATGCAGAACCAATAGACCTTCGGACCCTCTCCCACTCATCTTTGACCACTGGTCTGTTTGCCAATGAACTTGCTATACTGATAATTGCCAATGGGAGGCCTCCACATTTCTTTAATATTTTATTCGAAACTTGTTTTAGCATATCAGGGCAACAGTCCTCAGAACCAAATATTCTTTTGAAGAACAATCGTTTGGAGTGGAGATCATTTAGGACTTCCATTTCATACATGCGGCCATTACCACCATGAGAACATGATCTTGCTACATCAACAACTCGTGTGGTAGCTATAATCCTGCTAGAAAATTCATTCTCCGGGAAAGCATACTTAACAGCGTCCCATGCTGATGTGGACCATATGTCATCAATAATAATGAGATACCTGATGCATATAGATATTGTTAACCAACTATGAAAAGTAGTTCAAGTACAGAACATAAATATACCAATGTCATTTATAAGGACTTCAACCTTTATACCCCGCAAAAAAACTACGATCTCCAAGAAGATGATAATAAAAATATTCAGATGGAAAACAATAAATAAACCATGATTGCCTAAGAATCATACAATCTGCAAGTAATCAACAAGTTATTTAGGGTCTTCCGTGTGCTTATGCCTTGTGTTACCATTTTCAGTTTGCTTACTCAATTGAGACTTTAGCCATAGCTGGAACTCAAAACTAACCAACTAATATGGTTAGAAAGAATCAACCGATCCTACATGATTATGCTTCTGAAAAAGAAAATAGCTGCTCCCCAGTAACTTCAGGCATATTTCGCTTCTTAACTGCCCAATGAAATGGATCTTGAAAGTTTTGGCGGCTCGGCTTCGCTCTTATTACTATACTAGTTGATAATGATCAATATAAAAACAGGTGCATCGCTTATAACTTCTTATATGCAAAAATGGATCTTGTTCAGACAGGCTTTAAAAGGAAAACTGGAAAAGAAAGGCCCAAGGCCTTTGATACAGTTTCTTGGAATGCTCTCTTTGCTATTATGAAAGCTAGAGGTTTCGATGGTAAATGGATTATGTGGATTGACTCCCTTCTTACAACCGCTAAAAATGCTATTCCGTTGAATGGAATCCTGGGCAAGTGGATAAATATCAGGCGTGGGCTACGTCAAGGGAACCCTCTCTCACCCTTTTTGATCATTACTGTGGTTGATGTGTCACAGAAAAGTCATTAAAAAATTTGCATCCCATGGAGCTCTTCGACACCCAGTTATTAGCACATTGCCTTGTCCAATGCTACAATATGCAGACGACAGTCTGATTGTTTTGTAAGGGTGATGTTCATTACTCGCAGGGGAAAATTTTAGCATGTTCTCTCTTACCTCCCATTTCACATGAGAGGTAAGAGTACATAATAGATTTGAGCCATTGATTTGATCAACTAGTGATCTGATTAACTCTTACCTTCTTATCTCTCATGTGAAAAGAGGGAGTAAGAGGGAGCATTTTAAAATTACTTGCATGCTAAACTTCTTAAGGATATTCTTGATGCCTTGGCCCTTTGCCAATGCGACTGGAGTGAAGATCAACTTCTCTAAATCCACTTTGATCCCCAACAACCTTGACGATGCGGAAACTGCAGATATTTCTAGAGTGTTGGGCTGCCTAATCGAATCTTTTCCTCGAAACTACCTGGGGCTGCCTTTGTCTGACACTAAAGTTGCCAAGAGAGGCTTTTCTGCCAGTAATCTCTTCTGATGCTAAATGTTTTATCGGGTTTCCTTTGGGTTTCCCAACGAAGGGTAGTCACCAAGAGCAAGGTGACTATCCCTGCTTATCTTATGTCTTGCATTAAATTACCATAGCACATGCTGTCACTCTTCTTCTATCAATGAAAAGATACACAACCTTTGTGTATTCGCGAAAAAAAGGTAGTTGATGAGACCGACGGACTCAGGATATCGTTTCTTCGGAAAGGAAAGATAAAGGTAATGGAGGAGATTGCTTGGTCTCTTAGGACCATGTATGTCCATCCATCGAAGAAGGGAGGGTGGGTAGGAGTACAAAATGTAAATATGCTAAATGATTGTCTGCTGATGAAGTTTGCACGCGGCCTCCTCACTTCTACAACAAGGATGTTGGTGGATCCTCCCAGGCCCCGCGTCGCTCCCTCCCCGGGGCGACACGGGCGGCCGCTCCCAGCCCCCCGCAGCCTCCCCCTTCCCGCCTCCTTCTCCTCCTCGCCGTCGCCGGTGGCCTCCGGCAAGCAAAGCCTGTGCGGAGCCGGCGGCGGTGGGGCGCTCTTCGGCTGCTCTTCGCACATGATTTGGGGACATGGTGTGCGGATGGCGGCTGGCCGGTGCTCGGCTCCGGGCCGGTGTCCTCACTCGTGGCGGAGGTGACCTCTGACGCGCGGCGCGTTGGCTGGTCGCGACGCTCGGCGTGTTGTTGTGGGCGAGTGGTCGCGGTCGTGGGCGCCTGTGCGGGCCAGATCTGGTCCCTGCTGCGCGTCCTGGAGGCATCCCTTGCGAGCTGCGGCCGGCACGCATGGTGGTCCTGGGGTGGAGGGAGGCTCGGCCCCCTACTGCGCGTCCCGGGGGCGCCCGTTTGCTGCGTTCCTCCGGCTTGGCTCCATGGTGGTGCCGGCTGGTGCTTCGGCTGGCGGGCTGATCTGGCAGCTCATCCGACAAGTTGGGGTGGGGTGGCGCCCCCCCTTCTTGCTCGGGGATCCTTTTTGGCCGTGCTGCGTGCGGCGGCCGCGCGGTGGTGGTTTGCGGTTGCCGGGGCGGCAGCCTCGGATTTGGTGGTGGCAGCTTCGACCAGGGGGCGGTGCGTGTCTGGACGCGGCGGATCGAGGGATCCCGCGACCAGTTGGAGTAAGACGGCGGGCCTCGGTGCTCTACAAGGATTGGTGGGCGGCGGTTTGTGGCCGGCCGATTCGGGAAGTTGGTGGTTGAGCTTCACCAGGAGAAATCCTATCTCCGGCCTTTGCCGGATGCGACGGCGGCGACGCCCGCGGGCGCCGCAATCTTTCTTGGACATGTCGCGGCAGTGTGCTGCCTCTCCCCTCTCCCCGCAGCCTTGGCTCCGGAGGAAAATCTCAGATCCGCAGGATCACGCGATGAAGGCGCCTTCACGTCTTCTTCCTCCTTGGGGGCATCGTCTCGGAGCCGGCTACAGCTGGAGACCAGTGGTTGACGGCATCTTTGCCGCGGTGGTTGGCGGCATCTTCGCCGCGTGGTTTGCTGAGGAGGCTGTTTCAGGGGCGCTGATTTCTGTTTGGCAACGATGATGGCGTCGAGAGGAGCTTGGGTCGCGGCTTGGGCTTTGGTAGTCGGATCTTCCCGGCGTGTCCGAGGTGCTCTGCTGTTGGTTGCCTGGTTGTTTTGAAGTCGGAGCTGCGGTGGAGCGAGTCCAGGTGGCGACGATGACAAGCACTCGGTGGTCGTTTGCGGTGGGCACGGTTGGCGCAAGTCCTGCATATTTCCCTCGCGATGCTCGTCGTCAAAGTCAGAGCTGTCAGGTGTTTGTGCGTGTGGCCATCTGTTTGGCAAGTGCCATTGTGGCTTGTGCGGCTGTTCTGCAGCTCTGTGTTCCATGACGGTGGCCAGGTTGGCTGGTGGTGCCCATTTTGTGGGCTGGATTGTGTAGGTTTTAGCCCGGTTTTCCGTCAATTAACCGGGCAATTTTCTTTGTGCTTAATCAATGAAAATGGCAAGTCTTTTGCCTTGTTTCATAAAAAAGGGGATGTTGGTGAGCGCTTTACACTCTGGACTAGAGCTTGGTCTCAAGTTAATACCCTCTTCAAAGGCTACAAAGAGGTGACCTGTGTACAAATTGGAGATGGGGAGATGACTTCTGGAAGGATAAATGAACTACTGACGGCCCCTTTTATATCCAATTCCCTGCCATCGAACTCTCATACACTCAGGCTTAACATTTCTGTGGCTGACTGCAGAAAGGGAGGGAAATTGATAATTCATACTCGACATATCATGTCTGATCGGGTGGAACGTGAGCTCCGTGCCCTTGCCTTATTCCTCAACTCCGTCGGTCTCCAAGAAGGTTCTTGGGACCAAACGGGCCCTTAGAATGTATCACTATGTCATTCATGCTTTAAAGGTTCACGAGAAACATTTTGAATCATTTGAGTGCATCACTAATACTCCCTCCGTCCCATAATGTAAGACGTTTTTCGACACTACACTAGTGTAAAAAAACGTCTTATATTACGGGACGGAGGGAGTACTATTTAACCCATATACATATTATTTTTACAATTTGATTTAAGCAGTAGACATTCTTTGTCACTGCAGAATATAGACAAGGCAGTATAAAGACATTATTCTTAGTATATTTGCTTTAAAAGGTTCGGAGGGGGGGGGGGTGAAATTACCTCTTATCTTGTAAGAATTCCTTCAGTTTCTCAATACATTTCTTTTCATCCCAAGTGTCGATACCATCTATAAATTCTTTCTCGCAAGGCATCTGGGAGATCAAATCCTTCATAATTTTTTTTACATTAGGCTTTTGAGAGACCGAGACAAAAGCTTGACAATGAAAATGCCCCTGGATCTTGCGGTAAACCTCCCTCGCTAGTGTCGTTTTCCCCAAGCCACCAAAGCCAACAATGGACAGCACCTTGCGATGCTTGGTCGAGCTATTTCCATCTTCCAATATCCAATTGACAAGATCATCTCTTGGACTATCAATGCCCACAAGGTGTGCTTCCTCAACAAAAAGAGCAGATAAGCGGGGATCCACAACTGAATGTTCAAAGGTGCACAAGCGGGGATCCACGGCTAAATGTTCAAAGGCACTAGAGGCAATATCATCCAGCTTGTAATTATTCCTGAACTCTTTTACCTCCTTAAGACGAATCTTCAGATCGTCGATTTGCTTGGCAATTCCACGGCGAGAGCCCAGAGTCTTGAGACGGCGAGCAATCTTGCGAAAGAACTCCTTGAAGCCACCCTGGTGTTGGCCGCCATTACCGAGCTGGTGGACGAACTTGTCGATGACATCCTCGATGTCATAGGACAGCTCCCTCAGCAGCGATATCCATGCCTTCACCTGGACGTCAGGATCTTGCAGCATCATGTACTTTTGGACCGCGCCATGCATGCCGGTCAGCTCGGATTTGAGCGAGCGAATCTCGCGGCGGACGCCTTTCAATCGGGCACACTCGCCAGCAAGCAAATTGGTGAGCTTCCCCAGCAGGGGAGCCAACACGCCATGTGAAGCACCCACCACCTCCATTGATCTCTTTGTTTTATTTTGAAGGGATCTCTCTATTCCTCCCTCGAACCCATCTCTCGGTTTGTGCTTGGTGTGCTCAGACCTCAGAGTGGAGAGAAGTGCAGAAAGAGGACTCAATAATGGGGTTCGTACTAGCTGCAAGATTCCTTGAGATTTGATTTAGATCGGCCTAACCATGGCTGTGGCAAATTTAACAGATTTGACCTATAGACGAAATCAAATCACAGAATGAATTGTCCGTGAAACTATTTCACGCGGCTGACCCGTGACGCCTAGCTCTCAGGCGCTGCACTAGTGCAACGCCCGGGAGCTAGGCGCTGCACTAGTGCAACGCCCAAGAGCTAGGCGCTACACTGTATAGTGTGGCGCCTAGCTCTCAGGCGCTGCATACTGACTTAGTAATTTTCTGAACACACGGGTGCGATGCTGGCCGTGTAGCGCCTATCTCCAAGGCGTTGCACACTGTAGTGTGGCGCCGTCGTGTTGGGCGTCACACAAAAAGGTCAGCCGCGTGAAATAGTTTCACAGATAGTTCATTCTATGATTTGATTTCCCCTGTAGGTCAAATTTGTCAAATTTGCCCACGGCTGTAGCTATGGACAGTGCGCAGCGTCACTCATGTCTGCTTCACGGCTCTGTAAGCCTTGTCGGACGAACATGGCGTACAGTGCAGCATGCGGAGCCCGCATTGACTGGCAGTCTCCTACTGCAGTTTAACCTATGGCAGCAGATGGGTGCACAGAATTAAGCACAATGGCCCATATGCAAGTGACGCTTGAAGAAAATGAGGGTACATCTCAAAGATAAGTATGCTTCTCACACACATTATCTCACCTCTTGTCATATCACAACTTTATGAGAAAGCAGAGAAACGCAGTGTAGTAAATGAGCGTGCTGTCCTACTGCCAGTGATTTACCACTGGAGGCCAAGATCTGAACGATCATTGAGCAAGGGAGTATCCAATGCTAGACTTAGTTGGTATAGTTGTAAAAGTTGTAACTCTGAAAGTCTGAATATTAGGATGCACACAACCAAGTGTTAGCATAAAAAAGCATCAGCATCAATTTAGTTACTCGTTATGTTGTGGATAAGCTCGTGCTTAATCTAGCCAATTTCACTAGCAACACTTTTTTTTTACTCGCTACTTTTGTTTTTGATATCTCTATTAGTGAGTTATTTACCTAAAACCACCACATTTGAGGCTAGGGTAACAACTTGATACCACTTTTTGGACAGGGCACAAAAAACCACCAAAATTGCGCCTAATCTGTAACGCGGAGCACTGACGCTCGACTTTAGCGAAGATAGCGAATCTGACCGGTTGGGCCCACCTGTCCGACCGATGTGGCATGCCTACATGGAAATTTGCTGAGGTGGCCAAAGACCCCACCTGTCAGCCTCTCTTATTCACCCCCTCTCTCTCCCCAAGCCACTTTCTTCCCCACCCACCCCGACACAGCCGGCCATATCCAGCGCCGCCGCCAGAGCCTTATTCCGGCGAGCCACCCCACCCCGGCAAGTCTCCCCGCCGTCCCAACCATCTACCACCCGCTGCCACAAGCCACAGGCCCTGGGGCTCCACGACGGGTGTGGCCAGGGCCTCCCATCGGGCTTGGAGGGCACGGCCATGGGGCTCCACGACGGGTGCGACCAGGGCCTCCCATCGGGCGCGGAGGGCGCGGCCGGGCTCCTTGGGCGCGGCGAGCACGGGGCATGGCCACGGCGCTCCACGACGGGCGCGCGGCCAAGGCCTCCCCGCGTGAGCCGCGAGCACGGGTGTGGCCAGAGCACTCTACGGCGACGCGCGCAGCCAGGACCTCCCGGCGGGCGCCGTGCACACGGGTGCGACCACGACACTCCACCACGCCCCTCCCTCTGTATGTTCACGACCAGGGCCTCACCGCGAGCACGGGTTCCCGACCGAAACTAATCGGATCCAGGCGCAGCAGAGGGCTGGGGCAGCTCGGCGATGTCGGGGCAGTGCGGCAAGCTCGAGTTCATCCATGGCGGCGGACATGGCAGTTGGCTCCTGTTTGAGAGAGAGAGAGGGAAATCAGGGAGGAAGGAGGAGAAGAAAATGAAAGGGGCAGCGAGGGGAGCTCCAGCGGCTTGACAGCGGCGGCAGGTCTCGGATGACCGTCGACCAGCAAGGGCAGCGAGCCGCGCCGGCGGCGGGCTGCGTTGATAAGCGCCCTTTACCTGTTTGTCGAAATGCCCATGAGAAAAAGAAAGAAACGGAAAAGAGACAAACATATGAGGCCCTTACAGGTAGGACCCTTGTCCAACTCAGCAAATTGTCCACACAAGCATGCCACATCAGCCTGACAGGTGGGCCCAACTTGTCAGTTCCACTGTTTTCGCGTGCTTATCAGACAATCAGTGCTCCCCGTTAGTCATTAGGCACAAAATCGATGGTTTTTTGTGCCCTGTCCAAAAAGTGGTACTAAGTTGTTACCCTAGCCACAAATGTGGTGGTTTTGGGTAAATAACCCTCTATTAGTTAAGTGAGTCGTGCAGTTAAACTTCCATTTTTCTTACTGCATACTTCTTCCTTGCTCTGCTTTTCGCAGCTTGTGATGCAGCTGTCACGTGACGACCTCATGACTCATCTGTCAATGTGTTCCTACCCAGAGTCCATATGTTCGCAAGGTTCATTCATTCCCACTTACTTTTATAAGTAGGTTGTGTTTTAAATCATCTTCAATTTCTCTGTCAACACCGTTCCCTTTTCTTTCATCTTCCCGGAGGTCTGAATCCTGAAAGCAAGGGTTCAGGGAACCAAATAATTGTAGAAGATTAAAGCTTCACATGATAAGCGAGGTCCTCGGTTGTCTTGCAACCGTCCGGTCCTCGCACGCATGAACCACATCTAAACATTTTTTCTAGAATTTAAACCTGTCTCAAGCTCAGAATTTGGTTCATTGAAAGCTCAACAATGGACAAAGCCCATGAAAGCAAAATTTCATGGAACCATCCGAAGATGAAAACTTAACACGATAACCCATGTAATCTTGCAACCGTCCACGCATTGCTTGCAAGAATCACAACGTGTATACATTGTGCTGGTCTGCAAGAATTTAAACTTGTCCGAAACTCCGAATTTGTTCATGGAAAGTTTAGCAACACTTGTCTGTGCAGACTGTACTGCACGACTATGCATCTTCCATGCCCGTCTTCTCAGCACATAGATTGTCAAACAGATGCCCGTCTTCTTATTAGTCAGAAAACCAAAAACAAGAGCATTGAAAGTCGACCATAAAAAAAAAAAATCCTGCGGCAAGTTCTTGCTGAATCATATCGATCTTGAATAAACCTGTGAGCATATATTGCAGGCTATTTTGCTGTGCCTGGTGGACACGTACCTGAAGCTGGGGCCGGCGGTGGCACCGCACCTGGAGCGGCTCGGCCTCGGCGGCACGCAGCTGCTGCAGCTCGTCGAGTCATGTCGTTGGGCAGACTGTCCAGGGCGGGAGGCCTTCACTCTCTCCCACTCATCTTTGACCATCAGTATGTTTGCCAATAAACTTGATATGCTGATAATTGCAAATGGGAGGCCACCACATTTCTTCAGTATTTTATTTGCAATTCCTTTTAGCACATGAGGGCAATAGTCCTCGGAATCAAATATTCTTTTGAAAAATAATCTTTTGGAGTGGAGATCACTTGGGGCTTCCATTTCATACATGCGGCCATTACCACCTTGACAACATGATTTTGCCACATCAACATTGCATCTAGTAGCAATAATTATACTACAAAAATCATTCTATGGGAAAGCATGCTTAATAGCATCATCCCATGTAGATATGGACCATATATCATCAATAACAATGAGATACCTAATGGATATAAGTACATATTGTTAACCACTATGGAAAAGAGTTCAAATACAGAACATAAAGATACCAATGTCATGTATAAGGAATTCAAGAATAATATACACAAAAAAGCACTACAAACTCCAAGAGGATGGTATTTAAAAAAATCAAATATAAATATAAACCATGATACTCTAAGCATCATATAAGCTGCGAGTACTCAAAAAGTTATTAAAGATCTACAGGTGCATATAACTTATCTTGCCATGTGTACTTTGCTTACTTAACCGAGACTTCGGGCCTAGATGCAACACCAAACTAACAAACTTAGTTTAAAAAAATCCTCAACAATTTCTGCCTCATGTTCATACACCCATCATTTCAAATACTTGTTTGGGTATTTTCGTCCATAAAACTTGTTTGAATATCTAATGTGTGTGGTGCCATACTTAGAAATCAATTTTAATATCGTACACTCATGTTTCAACAACCTACGTGTATGTCATTCATGCTTTAAAGGTTGAGGAAAAATATTTTTAATCATTTGAGTACATCATTAATCTTTATTTTTGAAATTGCTGAGTTTTTGCATTCATTAAGAAGAAAAGGTTTGCTCAGTTAATTAGGGAAAACCGAGAGAAAAACAGATTGCCCAGTTGATTATGGACAACCAGGCGAAAACCATCACAGCCGCTGAGCGGCACACACAAGAGACCCACACACACCACTCGAAAGAGGGCATCACCGAGACAACACGTAGGCGTCATCGTCATCACTCCTCCCTAGGGGTGTCATCGCCATCACTAAACCATGAGAAAATAACTCCGACTTCGCCGTAGGCGATCGTCGACTCAACTCACACTGAAGAGGTCGTGTGGAGGTGTATGAAGATCTACGCCAAAACTCAGCCACCTGTGACCAGGCAGCGCAGCTCCTACTCTGAGGAAGAACTACGAAGGACAAAATCGGGCATGGCCGGTGCCACTGAAGATTGCTGAACGCGCCACCTGCAGACAGTCATCATGCACACACATAGGGCCCCACCACCATAGCTTCGACTTTAAACAAACAAACCGAGGTAATCTCGTGGACATGCCGACTACCTCAACCATTATCACGTCGCCGACATTGTTCCCACCATCATCATTGTCATAGAAGCCTAGACGCCACAACTGCCCGCC